TTACCACTGTGTCGTACGAGCCGGCTCTTGCCGAGCCTAAAAGCTACTACTACGTATACTGTGATCACTAGTAGGGTCATTACTGTCAAGTAGAACATGACCACAGATTATCTTCTACATTACGATGTCAAGACGAGGCACTGTAATATAGCAGTAGATATGTTAAAGGGGGGACAACCTAAAGTTTACAGCAAGCTTAGCTATAACGAGGATGATGATCCAGAAGAAAGCCCAATCAGATCGGCTCCGTAAATATTGACTTCCTCCAGTCTAGCGTTGTAGTGATTGACTTAGGGAAGGTCTGCTGAAGACTGTCCTGTTATTCATGGGCGCTCAGCCGTGACGCAGAGAACAGCCTCCATCATTCGATGCGTACCTTGCTGCGGTCATCACTGCTTCTCAGCGGGCAAGGCGGCTCTGGCATAGATGCTTGCGATAGCAGGAGGAAGTGATAGATCGCACAATTTTTGCCCGCAGTACCGTCTGTCGTATTTCTTTACTCCTGGATCTGCCATAGTCTTCAGTCCAATGGAGCATACGTATAGCAGGGTGGGGAGGAAGGGTCTTGTAGGGCAAATGAGGCTCAGCGCACGCATTACGGTGGAGTCAAGGACACGTATGGCCTTTGCGCGCGAATGCCATTGTCTGGAGTGAGCACATGCTGGACAAGGTACGTATTTTCCATGTTCAGTTCTAAGGAATGGCCATCATAGGCTCTACATAGATGTAGTATGTGAAGTGATCCGATAGCCGGGAATGCTAGGTTGAACATACCAACGTCATTTCAGCCGAAATGTGGGATATTTCCCAAAGGTCTGCAGGCACATAATATTCACGGTGCTAAGCCACATATGGTCCCCCAAAGAATGTTCGCGAGGCAGGTCCTTTGAAGGCTTTATGCGTCTGGGTCAACTTTGCAAGTGGGGCATCGAGCATACATGGATTCAGGACGATTTTCGCACACATGTACATCGAACTCCGAGAATAAAATCAAGAGGACATCCAGTATTTGAGAACGATGTATTTTTCGGCATGTTTTTGATATCTACATGGAGTGTTAAAGACTCATCAAATAGCGGAAGTTGGTCAGACTTACTCCAATTGACAAATAAATTTGACGTTCAAATGGACCTCGCAGTTCAGATTAATGTCGTTCATTCGGTTCCATCCTACTAACAGTGGATTGTAAGTTCGCGTGGGGCATCGTAACAGCCAGTTCGACCAGTTGGACTCGGAATATTAGACTGGTTCAGACAAATCGCAGTATCTGTTGGCCTGCGATGGTAGACAACGCAATCCTAAGTAACTCGAAAATATTAGTAATCATCATCATAAGACCAACCCTCACTCACAGGCTAAATTCCTCAGGCTTTAGACTCGACACAGATGAAGAAATGGTCAAAACCCAGTTTTGAGGTGGCTGTGTTCTATAACGCACCCCCAAGTTTAAACACTGTTAAGTTCATGTTTGTATGCATGTTTGGCCCCTCCTCCGCATTACAACATATTGGGAGGAGTTAGCTTTACAACATAAAAAAGATCATATGGATATACGAAGATATATTAGAATGTACTAGTGACCGAAGGTTTGCCACAATTGCACTCCGAAGCAATAAATCCTACAGTTTATTGGCTCTCTTCAAGGCATCCGCGGGTGGAACACGGACAGAGTTAAGAACTCCCGATACATAGACCTTTTCACTGACTTTATCCCGAATCTTGGAATGGTATCGATAAGCAACATGGCAAACAACTTGAAAAGTTGCTCACCTCTGATCGACTGGTCATTAATAGCCCCTGCAATGTGATCGACGTGTTGACAATTTTCAACTGGGCACCTCTGTAAATCAATGAGCTCGAGACCCTTGATACCAATCACTGGTTTACATACAGCTGTGGAGCATCGTGGAATATTAAGTTCATTGTCGCTGCCATACCGACAGTGTTTCTGCCTGTCGCTGTTCCCAAAACTATAAGAGGTCCTAATGCACCTCTACATCCACAAATATGTATTCAGAGTGATTCACCCTTTAATTTGGTACTCACACATCCGCAAGATACGCAGCACATGCGCCGTGCAAAGATTTCCATGCGTTGCACATATCTGTTTAAAGTAACCGGAATTAACTTGACTCACAGTTGCCAGTTGGATATATAAATATAAAACTGACCTTCTTCCACACCTATCTCCAGGATAGTTTCTGCTTCTAATCTGTTTCCTGGACCTCGAAATAAATTTATATCTGTTATTCCCAGTCGGTGTCCGATATCTGTTCCAAAGCATGGCTTGGATGCCACGAAATACTTGAGGACCTTCGCATTGAGATTCTTATCCTCTAGGGATACGTTACCCTTGATATGCCCAACATCTAAGTCTGGCAAAGAGCGAAAAAAGGCTAGTGGGTCAGAGGCCATGAGAGTAGTCTAGTACTACGGATGTGTCTGAATAAATGATGGGGGATTGTGAAGAGTTGCATGGCGCCAAAGTAGTGATTTTTATGCTCCAAGGTGATCTGGATCAATCTTGCCCAAAAGAATCACCTAAAATAGTCCCTAGGCTACACAACAATTTCCGGGAATGGAATACATAGCTCGAAGATGTCGGTCATGGTCATGCGCCTCAGTGACTTGCCCGAGGGAGATCGTCTTCAAGTGGGGCAAGATATCAAAGTCGGCGATAGGGCTGAATGCACATATTAACAGTAAGGACAGCGGTGAATCTGGTATGAATCTTTGTGATTTTGCTTCTTGATAGTTTTCCTGGGCGCTGGAAGGAAGTCAAGATGGAGCCAGGATATATACGGCTCAAACAAAACTTCGAGGGTGGTGGGACTCCTGCTGTAGAGTCCGGCCACGACGCTGTCCTCAGTATTTCCGGCGGGACCTTTACTAGGGACGATGGTATGAGAGACAAAAGATCACATAATTCCGCTATTCATGCATCACAGGTAATCAGATAACCTTGATACAAGCATATCCATTAATAGCTCGATCCTTTTCAGAGCATCATAGGACTCACCGCACGGTCCAAACGGGATGCATGGCTAAAGGCAAAGTGATCAGATATCGATATAGGTACCAGTGGACTACACACTGGCA